CTGCTCACAGTGAGTCTGATGCTCAAATCTGCTTCTAAGCTGGGGAGTCACTAACTACTACTCAGTGTCGCGTTCGTCGCAATCCGGGTTCCTCGCAGATTCTGACGCGATTTGGCCCCAACGCCATCGCGAACTAGTTTCTCCAAGCACACAAGTGCTCCAGCGACCGTGTTGTTGTGTTGCCTTTCTCAGTCAACATGCTCCAACACTGCCACGACCCCTGCTAGCTGATCCTCCGTCAGCATAGCACTTGTGCTTGCCTGTGCCCCGGTTGCCTGGTCATTGGTTGGGCTATGCTCTCGCAGGCACCTTTTCCATGGCCAGGTTCTAGCTTCTGGGCTTGCTGATACCGCAGGTTCGCGTGGGCCCTGTGATTAAATTCAAAACATTATGGACCCAAGCCGATGGCTTTCAGGATTCAAGCCCTGGTGGGCTTGCGTATCAGTCGGGACCGGGTCCCAGGGGTATGTCATCCGCAGGCTGCGACGTATATCACCCTTGTCCGTCCTCCCCAAACTATTATAACCTTTTTTTCTGGACCTTTCTGGACCTATAGCGGTGATTCTACATGATCGCCCTGCATACCATGTCCGACTATACCTCGGGTCTCTATGCACCCATTCGCTGCAGATCTCCAATAGCCCCTCCACGCGCCCCGTTCAGCAACCCACAAGGCATAAAGTCAGTGGACAGCCTCGCCTCCTCCAGGTCTACTCTTTATTTCCTCCCAAACGACATTCTTGAGGATCACACTGAAGATAGCGCGGGTCGCACCCAACACAAGCAATTGAAAATGCCGTCCCCAGACGTCGACGACAAACTACTCCTCGCGGGATTGGAAACGACATGGGACTCAGCAGACAGATTGGCTGTGCCACATCTACACATACCCAAGACAAGAGCCGATGAATATGGCCCACCCAGTCCATGCTATTCATACACATCTAGCGCGAGTTCTGCGACGCGCTCTCCATCAGCGTCCGAGTGGAGGTTCAAGCCTCTACCCCCAGTTCCTGGAGTAAGTGGCAATGCGCATTCGAGAGGATCTGGTAGATCAAGTGGCGGACAAAGCTCTCTCAGAGAGTCCCCTACGAGCTATACGCCTCAGCCTTTAGCACTTCGGCCCACGACGCCCCGTCCTATAACTCCTGTATCTTCGACATCCAGACCAACCACACCTCAACCTCACGCAGCGCCCTTTGGTGCAGTTCCTCGGCCTACAACGCCACGTCCTCTGACGCCAGTGTCTTCGACATCCAGACCTACAACACCTCTTCCTCCAGCAGCACCCTTCGCTGCGACATCGCGGCCTATGACGCCCCCGTCTATGACTTACCGACCAGCAACCCCTCGACCTACCACCCCAAGACCCGTGACTCCTCTACCTACCATTCAGCCCTCCACGCCCCGATCTACAGCGGCCCGTCCCACCACCCCGCGACCTATAGTGGCTTTTCCGGATACAGGCGCGGCCTCGAACCTTAGGTATGAGAATGCGCCAGGGTATATCGGCTCTTCAGCGGCCGGGAAAGGGCCCAGGGATGCTCCTGAGTGGCCGCAAGTATTTGGTATCAAAGCTGAACAACTGCCGCCCGCCCCAAACAATCAGGGCTACGGTCATAAGCCGAAACCCTCAAGTCCGACGGACTTGCATGTCCAGCAGAAGCAGCCTGTGAAGAAGACGTCAAAACAGGAACTGAGGCCAGAAAGTGACGAAAAGCCCCTGTGGCAGTCATTGAAGGCAGGTGTACGGCGTGTCCTAACCCGTAAAGCGGTTTCCCACGATGGTGGGGCGCTCAAGCACAGCAAAACGAAGAAGAACAAGTACCAGAATGTCCGCAGAGCATCAATCATTGTTCGCATGTCGACGATACCACCTATTCAGCGTCCACCGGAGGACAATGGTCAGGGCTTCCTTGACGGAAAGGAAGATGACGGTCACTATGAGGACGCCATAAAGCGAATGAAAAATGTCCTCGCGAGCTTGCTCGAAGATGGGTATACCATGGATATGATTCTGCAAGCAGAATCCAATCAGCAATTTCTCCGATCGCTTTTCACGCGGGTTCAGAACGAGCCACTTCTTGGTGTCGACACTGCACCTTCTAACTCACCTCCACCGACTTCACACTCCTCCCTGGCCCCGGACCACACATGCGAACTCCCACCCCAGGATTTCCATGATCCTGAGACAGTCGATCAGCCGGTTCACCAGCCGATGAGCCAGCTGTTTGACAAGCCAATTCGACGGCCTACGTTAGGTGATGACACTGAAAGCAACTGGGAATACGTTGGGTATGACGAGGATGAAGCCTTCACTGAAGGTGCACCCTCGGTGCGCTTCTTCACAGGTCCTGCGCCTGATCAAATATCAGAGCCACGCAGTTCCGTTCCGCCATTCGCCGCAGTCATGGCCGCCTTGGACGACGACCTGCAGCGCATGGTATCCAACCGATGGAGCCTCTCCAAGCCTGGCATGGAAGACATGATTTTGAATATCCTCCTCCAGATCGACGATCTGGATGACCTCTTCTCTTTCGCTCAAACCAGCAAAGCCATCTACCACGTTTTCAAGCGCCACGAGCTCCCATTGATGGAGAACACCATTAGACGCAGATCCCCTGCAGCATGGGAACTCCGTCAAATAAGTGATATCAATGAAAACACAGATTCGCAGGATCTATCCCCTGCAACGATCTACTACCGTGCAGTGACCCGCGATCTCCGCGCCCTCGCCACCCTCAAGGGCCTGATGATGACCCACTGCAGGGGAGTCATGCGCACCAGCTCATACACTGCCCTTGCCCGTCCATCCGGTCCAGAAGCCCGCCGGCTAGACAACGCCATCTGGCGCGTCTGGACCTTCTGCTTCCTCTTCGGAATGCAGACGGGCAGAGAAACAGACATGGACGGACAAGTCAGCTGGCTGCGCGGGGAAACCGGATCCCCATTTCAGCCGTGTCCCGACCCCAAGGACGTAGCCAGCATCCTGTTCGACCCTCCGCCGGGATTCGGAGAGGGCAATGCCGGAGGCCTCTCGGTGAGCGATATGCAAGACATGGACGAGGTATGGACGTGTCTGAAGTACATGCTGGGATTCCTGCGCGGTGAGACCGAGCGTGCCCGCCGCTTCGGCGTGTTCCAGAATGCCGGCCTTTCTCAGGAGCGCAATCAGGGCATGATTGTGCTGCATGAATGGATCAATTACCTGTTGTCGTTGGGGCCGGAGGCCGTGGTGGAGCTGGCACCGTTGGGACCGGACACTCATGCGGAGACTACGTTCCAGCGAGCCATGTCGCGGGGGTGGACGACGTGGTCGGCTCCCGAGCCGGGGTCGACACGAAGTGCGTTCCTGACGGATGCGCTGGGGCGGGTGTCGGGGGGATTGCGACGGTTGGAGGAGTTGCAGATGACGCTGTGGTATAGTTATGTGTGAGCTATAGACTGTTAATGAGTGATGACACATACTTGACTTCAATTATATTCCACGTAGCTTATTCTCGATCCTACGAGTAATAGTATGGTCTTGACCACTTGGAGCTGACATGAAGCCATACAAAGACACCACCAAGATATATAGTAGCCGCTTTACCTATTTACCCAGCACCGCATAAGCAACTACAGTATGTTTAATAACCATGGAAACTACTAATTATGTAGTAAATATGTCTACCAATAATAAACTAATTACAATCCAGAGAATTATCCCGCAGTCATCCAATGGACACACCACCACATTTTGCATATAACCGGGACGGAGTGACGGGACTCCCCATCCCAACCAAGCACCACCACCACCACTAGTAATCAACACACTCAAAGTATTTACCCCAGGATCGCACCCCCAATGCTATGCTACTATGCTACAAGGTACGATCGTCACCACTGACATCAATCTGACCATGACACCATCCCACACTCCATCCATCCATCCATCAACCCTGCTAAAGATAGTAGTAGTAGTAGTAGTAGTAGTAGTGGTAGTGGTAGTACTACCACCTCCTGACGTCACTTCTACGCCATCCTCCTACTATTTCATATAAACAACCCAACTCCTACACTCTATTCCCTCCCTCCTACAATCCATCCTACAATTGACTACACCAAACCTCCAACCAAGTAATATCCACAACCAACGAAACAAAGCAACAAAATGTCCACCACAATCCCCACCACCAGCGGCACGCAGCCCCTGGACCCCTACAAAGCCAAATCCCTCGACGAAGACATCCCACTCTCTCAAAAGATCACCGACCTATCCACCTTCATCACAGAACAGAAATTCGGCATGTTGACGACAAAGTCCTCGGACGACGATCTGCTCACGAGTCGGTGTATGGCTCTTGCTGGGAAGGTAATCCCCCACCCCCTCTTACTTTCCAGAGAATAATAACAATGGAACACATGACTAATTCAAATGTAATGAATGTATAGGAGAAAGGCGACACGACCTTAATCTTCCACACGAACCTCTTCAGCCACAAGACCATGGACCTAACCGCCCACCCCACAGAGACCAACATGTCCTTCCTCGACCCCATCAGCGGGTCCTGGGCATCTATCTCCGGCACGGCGAGTATCGTGGCGGACAAGGAGACCGTCAAGAAGTATTATTCGCCGGCGTTGCAGGCATGGTTGGGTGATTTGGGCGATGGAGTGCATGATGGTGGGCCCGAGGATCCGCGGATCGGGGTGATTAAGCTGGAGGCGAAGACCGCGGTGTATGCGGTTTCGAGGAAGGGGGTTATTGGACGGGCTGTGGAGACGGTCAAGAGTGTGGCTAGGGGGGATGTGCCCGCTGTTAATAGTATTAGGGAGGTGGGGAGGGCGGAGTTTGATGAGTGTAAGTTTTCTTCCTTTTCATTTTCTTTCAGGGTGGTTTGAGGGTTGGGGTGGTTGCTAACTGGTTGGGTTATAGGGAGACGGACGCATCCTGAGTAAGTCTGTGGAAGGGTTGATATGGGCTACGAGATATGATTAGTATTATGTCAGTTGTTGGACTGCAAGATAATCATTGAATTATGTGCTAGCTTCAAGCTGCAAGTAGAGAGTTCAGTCAAGTAGGACCAGTCAACAAGAGAACGAGTATGGAAACAGCGCCAGGCTCAACTAACAAGTTCAATCAAGTAGATCGGTCGAACGAGACGAAGGTAAACAACTAATGTTACAAGATGTTCATACAAGATGTTCAGTCAAGTAACACCTGACAAAAGATAAACAAAAGAAACATCCCATCCGTTAACATGATTCCCAAAGCTCCAAAAGATCAATCCAGACCAGTCAATTCCAAAGAACCAGTCCATCAACCTGATTATCAAGAGAACCAACCAAGTTCAACCAAGAGCACCGAAAATAAGAAATCATGTTATCGTAACTCCAAGGGTATCGTTAAAGTGACGCCCACGCCATCGCTAACGCCAATAATTCCTCAAATCTGTCATAGTTAGCATCTACCACCATATTCAATATCAGGTATGGACCTACCAATCGCAATGGCATCTTAGCCGGCAGGCGTCCATTGTGCAGCAGCATGGCAATGTTCTTATTAGGAGTCGCCTGCAGCTTCCGATACGCTTCGCGAATATGTCTGGTCTCAACCGGGGTACTACCCTCCTCAGGGGGATCGAACAATCCAGTCTCGCGTGTACGCTTCTTACTGCTCTCGCCGTTCTCACCACCTCCACGACGGTTTTTCTCGCGGTCTTCCCGTTCCTTGACTTTGAGTGCTTCCTCGGTCAGAGTCTGCACAATTTCGAACGTCAAGAAACCAAGAATATCAACGATATCGTCGTTGGGCTTGGACTCAGTCACAATGCCGAATCCGGCCCACTCGCGGAACCGTTTGCTCTTGCGGTACGTGAATGAAGCCTGGCGACATTCTGACCAGAACACATACTCTTCCTTGGTCATGTTCTTGGTACGTTCATCGGCCGCGGCGAGGCGCTGGAGCGTAGCGTAGTTCTGCTCTTCCTCTTCTTCATCTTCTTCGTCCTCGCGTTCGGGAACCTGCACCGAGTAGAAGCTGTTCACGTCCCAGGCGAGACCAACGCGAGCACGCTTATTCTTGGGCTTTGACGCAACATCCTGCGGTCCTGCGACGACTCCGCCGGCGATGGGGTCATCAGCTCCTGCGAAGTCTGCAGCATCAGCGCCGCCTTTGTCGTCAGAGTCCTTGACGTTCTTGCGGACATCTTTCCAGGACAGGAACGTCTTGAGACGCGACACCTTGGCCTTGTCATGGCGAATGAGAAAGATCAAATCATCGGTAGAGATAGACCGTACGCCGCGACGAGTCGCTAGGGCAGTGCTTCTGGCGAGCTGCAGTAGTTAGCGTAGTTCGCAACATAGTAGGGGAAGAGCATACAATTTCGACAACCTGCTGGCGCACAATATCTTCAATGAGAGTCGTGGTTTCGACGGACGGTTCGGCAGTTTCACCAGAGACGAACATCATCTTGCGGGAGAAATTGATTAGCATTTCCTTGAACTCCTCCCTGGTATCTGCATCCATCCCCATGTACATGTCCAACGGTTCGTCGCGCGGCTGCTGCTGGACCGCTGGGACTGCTGGAATTGCTGGGACAACTGGCACCGGCGGTGCAGTCGTCATTTGGCCATCTTCCAAATGGTCCCATCCATGCCACGAGATAGTAGCATCCGAATCATAAGGATCCGCAGACATGATTGGAGATAGTGCCTTCAAGGACAAGCAGACTCGCAATATCCAAGTGAACCTCAGTCAAGCGAGTTGGCAAGAAGTAGAAGAACACTTCCAGTCAGAAGATCCTTTATAGTTCCATTTTGCAAAGGAGTAAAGCACCATTGCATGCTAGAATTCACCACTTCCATGCATTACCGCTGCTTCAATGAAGCTCCGTAGATCACATCGATAAAGCGGAGCATCACAGCGACAAATAGAGCATGTAGACCCCAGCATGGTACCACAAACAGACTAGACTCACGCAGCCGCAACCAAAATAAAGAAGAGAGAAACAAATCACAGATTCTCACAGCACCAAACCAGATGGGAAATCAGCACAATGCTTACCTGCTGGATCTCCTGCCGATACTTGGGGGTACGATCAGTCGACATGATGCAGGTTATAGGAACACTGATCGAGCATGCTCCACTGCAAATACTCTGACAAGGGGAGTCCGAATCTCAGTCTGCTCAGGATCAAGATAGGACGGATATTGACAATGTGGCATCCATTCGAAGCAGCGAAGTATGAAAGAAGGAAACAGTGCCTGGATGCTGGTTGGTGCACGTGAATCTCACACCCTCAGGTGACTGGACTGGTGCAGTGCATAAGCCGGATCATCACATGATCCGATGTCCGGCTGCCCTCCGCCGCATTTGGTGGGGGAATATCGAAAGTTTCCCGGCTGGTGGGATTATTCACGAACAACTTACAATTCCAATTATTTGTGGTATTTGAAATTGTACATTCACCATGCTTTACCTGGTAGGACTTGGTCTGGCTGATGAGACCGATATTACGGTCCGCGGTCTGGAGATCGTCAAGAAGGCCGAGCGTGTCTATCTGGAGGCATACACGGCCATTCTGCTCGTCGATAAGGAGAAACTAGTGAGTGTCGCCTGACGGAGTACTACAAGATATGTGTTCTAGGGTGCGGAGTTGACTAACTGGAATATATTGGTTTAGTAGGAAGCTTTCTATGGACGTCCTGTTATCGAGGCCGACCGCGAAAAGGTCGAGAGTGGCAGCGAAGAGATTCTCGCCGACGCCGACAAGGTCGATGTTGCTTTCCTCGTCGTTGGAGACCCCTTTGGGTATGTATAGTATTCACTATCATCTGGCGCGACATTGGCGTGTTATCTGACTTCCGTCAGCGCCACCACACACACAGATCTAGTCCTCCGCGCCCGCGAATTGGGCATCGAATCCAAGGTCATCCCCAACGCTTCCATCATGTCCGGTATCGGCTGCACGGGTCTGCAGCTGTACAACTTCGGACAGACCGTCAGCATGGTCTTCTTCACTGAGAACTGGAAGCCCTCATCCTACTACGATCGGGTCAAGGAGAACGTTCAGTTGGGTCTGCACACATTGGTCCTGTTGGACATCAAGGTCAAGGAGCCGTCGCTGGAGAACATGGCTCGGGGCCGTTTGGTCTACGAGCCCCCTCGCTATATGACCGTGGCGCAATGTGCAGGTCAGATGCTGGAGACTGAGGAGGAGCGCCAGGAAGGTGTCTGGGGACCGGACAGTCTTGCTGTCGGCGCGGCGCGTGTGGGTGCTGCGGACCAGAAGCTGGTCGCTGGTACCCTGAAGGAACTGGCCGAGGTCGAGATGGGCCGGCCTCTGCACAGTTTGGTCTTGATCGGAAAGAGAGCGCACGACCTGGAGAAGGACTACATCCGGGAGTTCGCTGTCGACCAGGCCACCTTCGACGCTAGCTGGCAGAAGGGCGGATACGGTACTATGTAAAGACCGTCGCTGATGAGGAACGAAACCAAAATAGATAGATATTCATCACGCCAAAAATGAACACTGCTAATGAAACCACATGCACGAACCCAAACACCCAAACCCGCTTTCTGGTGGAAACAAAATGCTAGCAACTAGCCACGCACACGTCATAAGCCGTATAGAGGATTGCGATATAGCCATAGCCGTGGCCATCAAGCTGTTCGCCTAGCAAACAATCGAGTCAACCGCTCGGGGAATCGCATCTATACAATCGCAATCACCGTTAGCAAAAGATTCATCATAAAATCAACCAAAGAAATAGCCCACCGTAGCAGAAGAAGGTGTCTCCGGCGGCGTCTGCGTCTGATCACTCTCATACTCTCCACCATCGGCATAACTTCCTTCCTCATCGTACCCATCATCGAAACTATCCCCATCTTCCTCCTCATCGTGAGGGAACCACCTCTCCGGATCGCCGTTATACACAATCCACCAGCCAATGCGCTCACCAGCCGCATACTTATCTCGAAACTCCGTCAGGGCCTCCATGGCGTCCTTCTCCAGCGGCTCCTGCTGGAATATGTCCTCTGGTTTCCAGCTCGTCTCGGGAGTCGGACCGACATCCTCGGGGATGGAGATGACTTTCCCACCGACGTAGGCGTATGGCTTGCTAACTGCGTCGTCGCTTGTGTCTTCAGGATCGTATTGCTCGATGAAGCGGAGGTTAGGTAGGCGGGAGACGATGCTTGGTTCGGTCTTTTTGAGCGATTCCATGACCAGTTCGCTGGTTAGGGGTTGTTGGAGGTATTCGGCTGTTGCGTCTTCCAGGTTGTGGAGAACAATGTATACGCGGATGCCGGTAAAGCCGGCGCGCGGCCAGCGAAAGCCGTAGAGCATGTAGACGGGCATTTTATTTTATTTAATCTGCCGTCTGCAGAGATTTGTTGGATGGTGGTAGTTGGTGGTAGTGGTGAGGAAGGGGAGGGGGAGGGGGG